GGCGCCGCCGGCAGCGACAGCGAGGGACGTTGTTAAGTAACAAGACACAACTCCGTGTAACACTGCTGTGCGCTTAACACACGTGACGGCACAACTGCAATCCAGATCTTCCAACGCTAATTTTTTTCTTAATTTTTAAAAAGTTAATTTTTAAAATTACAATTGACAGAGGTAATGAAAAAAACCTATAAATAAAGTAAAAAAAGTACAAGTCAGCCGTCAGAACTGACTGACCTGATGGGGCTTCCTCAGGCTCACCGGGCGTCTGAGGCGCCACCTCGTCACTCCCTGGGGAAAGAGCCCCAGGGAAATACGGATGGATCGGCCTGTCCCGCACGACCTACGGCTGGGCCGGGAGCAGCTTTCACACAGCCAAGGAGAGGAGGCAGCTCACAAGCGACGAGAAATTTTTTAATGCAAACATTGAGCTGTTCATCTATGAAGTTGGACTCAAGTGGAGCTGGGAGTCCCTGTTCTTCAACGGCTGACAGCATACGAAGAGCTGGTTAACCGTAGGTAGTATAAAGGCATGGTACATCTGCACCAAAAAAGGGAAAGCTGCAGGCTCTGGAAAACTCATGTCCCATGGGTGCATACTTACATATGTAAATACACACACCTCTCTATCTAAATAATGTTGCATGGCCCTTCTGTTTTATTAAACAATGCAAAAAGGCAGGATCTGATACCAAAAGGAGATTTAAAAATTATCTAGAAGCAGCAGTTGAACCCCACCTCCTTGACAATTCTGCATCCAGGAGCAATCCCAGCACTATCTGATCACCTTTCCAAAATTATCCTGTGCCTGCCTCTAGTGACACTGAAGACTTAGTGCCTCAGATGATCCACGTCATAGAAGGAGTGGATCAATAGCCCAGAGCTGAAACCTGTTACATTTCTGTCCACACTTTTAACTAGTATTTGGCCCTGGTGACAAGGAGACGTGAGTTGTGCTTCGTTGCATCATAAGCGACTGCAGCTTGAAAGGTGCAGCCTGCGTATTGGTGTGAAGCAGTCTGTAGCATTTCCTGCAAACCTAACAAGCCAGACAGAAGCGATATGTAACAGATCTTGAGCATTTATGACTTGAGTGCATGTGGGGTGGGTGCATAAGCTCTTTTGGTGCCACATTCTATCATCAATTGTCTGTAAAATAAACAAGAAAAAAAATCTGGTGAAGAAAACAATCGCTCAGCAATTGATCTTCAAAAATTAACAAAGGCCCCCAAATCATTCTTTACAAATCATTAAGTTAAGAGATATCAAGATAAGGGTAATGTTTTCTCCTTGTTATCTTACTGTTCTCCCTTCTCTGCTTGGGTACCTACTTTCATAAAACTTGTATCTTTGGATGCTGCTCCTTATCTGCAGTTTTAGTTAAAATCTGCCAATGAAGTAAAAAGTTATTGGGAAAATGGGATAGAACATGACAGCATGTATCTTACTTTCTTAGGAAAATAGTTTAAAAAAAATAATCATATGGAGCTAGTGTTTGAGAATTAGTTTTGGGGCGAACAGAGAAATCAAACCTCAAACCACTGTCAAGGCTTATACTCCTATGTCTGGACCTGAACTCTTGCCAAGCGTTTGGGATTTTGTGAGGCAGGCCCACCAAAGCAATGAAACAAGCAGAATTAACTTCCTGTCTCAGAGCCTTGCAAATATTTATAAATTGCTTCATGATTCACTCCATATTCACTTTAATTCCGTCGATGGCCTTGCACATCTTTTGAGAACGGGAACTGAGTGATGGTATGTTGCAAACTGAAACGATTAAGGGAAATAAAAGGAAATGGCACAGGGGCTGGCTCAAAATGCTTTCCTGCCATCTTCTGGACTTTCTTGGTAATGACAGGGAAGAAAGGTCTCCATTCACAACTGAAATCCTGGACTTCAGCAGCTGTGAGCCATAACCAGAAAACAACATGCACGTTTGCCACAGTATATGCATACTGTGGCTCTTAGAAGCAAGACCGTCACATTCGTGATTCAGCTCAGCAAGGAAGGCTAAGCAATGAGAGAAAAGTTAGTAAGGGAAATAGAGTTTCTTGGGAGGTCGGCAGAGCCAGGTCAGAACAGCCACGCATACAAGTCGCCCACTCGGATTGTGAAGAGGAAATACATGATCCTCGTGACACTCCAACATATTCTGGAAGCAATCGTTACCTTTCAATGAGGACTTGCAAAGATGAAACACTGTCAGACTTCAGCCTATGACCGTCACGTAGAACGCAGCATGGAACGCGATTCTCACCAGAGAAATGAAAGTGGGTATAGCTTACTATTTGCCTGCGGAAGAACTGAACAAGTCCTTTGCAAATGAAGGTATTTGGTTCTGTTAGTAGGTGTCTTTGACATTTACTGCCAACTGCTGGGGACAGGTGATCTCTGCCATCCCTTGTTCCTAAAAAGGAGACTGCAACATTATAATTACCACACAGTACTGTAAGATTCAGGAGTTCTATAGTAAATCAAATAAAGGAAGATACATTACACTCAAATTTATCTTTTATTTAATCCTTGTCATATATTTTCCTTCTTGACATTTCAGTTAGTACGTTTTTCTGATTTTAATAATGAGATACTAGAATTTATCTGAAGATTTCTGCTGCCAATTTTTGCTGGTGTATTGGTATTTTCGTCTCTATTTGCATAAAGTCACACAAGTAATGGAGATTATAAAGACAGCGATCCTTCAAAATGTAGAATTTCATTGTCACAAAAAAGGCTACAGAATACTTGAACTTAATTTAAAACTATCAAAAAGTTGATTAATTTTAAAAGTATCCAAAAAAATCAGGAGAAAGACAAGCAGCTGCAACAAGCCCTAGCTTTGCAATACGTATTCAGATTGCCTGAATAAGGAAAGGCTTATGTTTGCTACTTAAATGACAAGCAACGGAAGCATCTCGCTGAAAACGTAAAATAGCAGATTAACTTCCGAGATACACCTCAATGGCTCCAGAACTGATCACCTGACTTGGTAATTAATAGTTACGTTTGCAGTAATGCAAAATTTAGACATTTACTCTTTGATCTAAGGGCATAAGCAAGTGAGGTTTATAGATACAGTGTTGTTTTAAGAGAAGTTCCTACCTTTATTATCGATTAAAAAAATATTTAGTGTTTGTTGCTGCCCTTTATCTAAGCATTCTTTATTGATACTCCTAAGATATACATATATCAGCCAATACTCATTCATATGTGTCATTTAATATCAGAAACTAAGTCTTGATATATCAAGTGTTGCATATGAAATTGTGTATAAACAGTGAAGTGTACCAGAAATATTTTATTCACATAAGTAAACTGAACGTGTTCACATTACAATAAGCAAAGGACAAAATTTGTTCAAAAACTTTTATTTACTATAAAGACAAAAAACACCAAAATAAATACAAATTATACTATATAAAATTGGTTCAATGGGGTAAAAACTTTTAATTAAAATATCTTGATATATTTAAAATAACAAAGGATACAATGAAGCCAAATTTCTTAACCCAGAGATTTCTGTAAAATTTGCTTGCACAGTAAGGTGCTAATAGAAGTTAGCCCTTAAGCCCTGGAAGTCTTAGGAATCAGTCACATAGCAAATATAATTTCATTGTGAAAGTGAACTTTGGTAGAAGAAACTCTATAGGACACCTGAGGTAGTAGAAACTGGAATAAACAGCAGTAGACGTTATTTACAACTTAAGTACCAAATAACATTAAGAACACAAAAAAATAATTACACAATACAATTTTCAGTCCAGCTTTGATCCAAAGAAAATAAGAATATTACATCACATCTGCATTTTAAAAACACCACAATTACCAGCAAGCTGAGGGAAACGCAAACAAACTCAAACAAATGCATTTGGACACCTAGAGGCAGTTTGAGTTTGAAATGTGGTAGGCATGGTGATCTACAAAGTAATACTGATTAGCTGAGGTTCATCAGTTTATACAGTTTACATTTCTGCCAGAAACAGTATTAATCTGACAACCGATCTTCCAGTACATGAATTGGCAAGAGTGCATCCTTTAAAGCTTGCACATAAGAAAGACTTGGAAACAATCTTATTAGAATGAGAAATTCTAAAGTGGTCAAAAAAAAAGTCAAGTACAAAACAGTTAGAGCTACCAAACTTCACATTTCGGTATTATCTTTTTAACTCTTCAAAGTCTGCCAATCTTCTAAAACAAAGGAATGTAAAATTTTCAAAAGAAACACACTCACAACTAATGACACTGCTTTTTTTATTAGTATGAGCACTATCATTCCTGTAAACTTATCTTTAAGATGTTTTACTTCCAATTTGTATTGTACATTTTTAATGTACCATAGCTTATGTAGTTTGTCCTGAGTCTTTGAAACCAATTCTATTTCAGTCCAACAATCCAACTGGCTTCTGAAGAGTTAAAACATGAACAGTATTTTTTTTTCAACTGGATTAAACACAATCAGTATTTGATTTAAAAAGATCCACCTCTTAAAAAAGCAAAAGAAAAGCTGCCATTTTCCTTCAGAATTACATGCATCAGAATCTAAAAACCTGCCTTTAAAATAATTTTAAAAACCTGTTTTTAAAAAACACACCTGCTAAAAAACACAAGTTTTGCACTACAGGTGAAGCTTTACTTCACATTTTACTTTATCTTGCTTTTCAAGTCCAACTTTGTTTCTTGTTAAAATAAATACCTTTCTTACGGTAATATTTTTAACATTTTCAAAGTAAATTATCACTAATGGCTACAGTAAATAGATGATGTACGGCAGAAGGAAAACAGCAGGTAAAACTTGTTATCAGTAGAGAATGTGACCTCAGTTTTGTTACACAAAGAATGAGATTTGCTCATAGTTGGCACCTGCTCCCACTGGAGTACAGGACAAAGTCTCCCATAAACTTTAATGGGAGCTGGGTTTGGGGCCTTTGCCACGAAACTTCTCTACACGATTTGCCAGAAAAAACTGCTATATGAGAAGAAGGCTCAACAACTTTTAGCATGATTCAGACTAAGTTGTTTTATGCAGAACCACCTTGGTTTTTCTGTTTTTTAAATAACCTGTGCTATCAGAGCCTTCAACACTGCCTTGTTGAAGGTGGCATTTTATTTTATTCCAGATTTCTAGCAAATCTGTTTTTAAAACTCTTGTGTCAGCAAGATGTTCCGTGACACAGCTTGCATCTTTTTCTAAAGACTATTTTGAAAGATCACCTTTCCCTGAAAGTTAAAAATACAATGAAAACAAACTTTAATTTCAAAAGAAATTACACAGCCAGCAGTAAATGCACAGTGAACCACAACTGCCTGCTCTTACTTTAAGGAAGGCAAAATATTTTTTTAAAGTATCCATCAATGTTTGGATTTGTTACTCAGAGAACTTTGTGTAATTAAAAGGGACAGATACAGAACTTCCTTTAAACCAGTGCTGAAAACTGACTAATTGCAGAATCCTCTGCTTACATCTACATGATGTGAAATGGAACAGTGATTGCTATATTAAAATAGGTCCTGAGCCCCTCAGCTGCTAATATTGCTGAAAAAGTGCTCCAAATAAAATAAAAATCACTTATCTGCTAAATAATCATGCAGATTTAAGGAAAAATGCTTTTGTGTTCACATAGAGCCAGATGTTTGAAAAGGCACAGTTTTCAAATCTCTGCACAAGTTGTGAAATGTTGCATACTGATCTTAGGTAAAGATCTCGATTTGTCAATCACATACTTAGGTAGGGTCCTCCACTAGCCTTAAGTCCTTGATGTATCTATCATTAAGGCCAGCAGAATAATACAACTTGCTGTGCTTAACTGCACTGCAAGACAGTTACTGTATATTCAGTAGCATCTTCTTCAGTTTATCAGCCTTATACATAAGTAGCTACCATGTAGTACGGAAGACAGGGTGTTTCAGCAGCTCCCTTGATGGGGGTCTGTCCTGAGGTTGAAGTTCTAAACACCGAAGAGTCACATCTTTCAAGCCAGGAGACAGATGTGTAGGGATTGATGGAGCAGTAGTTGCACTAGCAATCTGAACAAAGGGAAGATAACTTTTTAGAAGTCAGTGATTCTTAAGCTCCCTCTCCTACCCCAAAAACCTTCCACAAGCTGATCATTTTCAGCTAACGAGTTATATTTATGAGCTTTTCTCCACTTAGCGTATTTCCCACTGCAGTTCGAAGATTACGTTAATGCTTCCATTTTATAAAATGGGTCTTAAGTTGCCCTTATACCTATTACCTTTCACGGTCTGCCTCTCTCTTTGTACTTTTCTCTGAATTTTCTTCTTATGGCAAGATTCTGCAGTGACCATCTGCTGAGCAGGCTGTAAGAAAAGCTCTTCTGCCATACATACGGGTATTCTTTAGTCCACTACTTACTGTGACTGTTAACTGGCATAAGCCAACATGGAGATATATTAAGCTGAGCGATATTATATTATGATATGTTAAGCTGGGTATGCTCTCTTGTGTTGTCTTTTCTGTATTTCTGCTACCACCCCAAATGGCAATCTCTCAGATAGATGCAGATCACTCCCAACCAAATTAATTTCGATTTTCTCTAGACCAAATTCAGCAGGATGATTGAGAACACTAGGGTGGCACCACCAGATTCACGCAGATGCAGAACCAAGACAATTACATCTCTTATCACAAGTGATTTGTACTTAATTAGAACATATTTGAATACTGCTGTGCTAGTTCTTTTTGTGGAAACACTTTCTTCACTCATGCTAGTGAAAATGCTAATAATCACTTTCTTCACCTGCGGCAGTATTTTCTTCATGCCTGCAGTTCAACTAGACTTTTAGAATTAAATACACCTAATTGATTTTTGTAAGAAACATGAATGCCAGAATGGATGACCTAGAAAAGGGAGGGCAATATTCATATATAGCATGGCATAATGGTAAATATCTTTCAGCAAAACCTGAACATGGAACATGAGGTTTTTACCAAAGGAAATTCCCCACTATGAAATACGAATACACACATAAATGTTTTATGGTAGAAAAACTTACTTTGCTCCCGTACTTTACAGGATTGTAAGAAACAAGTTCAAATCCCAATCTTCTGCCTAGAGTCAAGATCAACTCTATTCCCAAATTTTTTTTTAGCTATTACACTACGTATTTAT